GCCTGCCTTGCTGTGTTCATTCAGCTCCACATCTTGTTATCTTAAACAAATCAGGCCTTTATTCTCTTGAATCTGAAGGTTAAGGCCGAATCTAATTGAGTTCTTTGGGACAGAGCTCTGAACATGAAAAGACAGGGAAGATAACAGTTATTTTCACTGATGAAGATTCTAAAACTGGCAGCATACTCTAAGAATGAGGCTGAGGCCATTCAGGAGACATGTTAGAAATCTCTTCTACACACAAAGAAGACTGGAGTTTTGGAATTCTCTTCTTCAAATGGTGGTCAATACTAATTCAATTGTTAAATTTAAATCTGAGATGGACACTTTTCAGGGCAGGCTTCCTTAAACTGGATTTCCTATTCTGCCATAGGAAGGGCCGACAACTTCAACACAGCTGAAGTTTTGCATGATCCCGTTTTGACTTTATGCAATTTCACTTTAGTTAGTTTTTTCAAGGCGACAACCTGCCATGCATGGCAAACGTATTTTGCAGTTAGGATTTTCATGTCCTGGCCTACTCATAGGCATACAAGATATCTGCAGCTTTTAGTTTTTGTAACCAAATTCGTCAACCTGTTTGTAACTTCATAAAAACAAACCCATGTATATTCAAAATACAATGTATGGTGTATTATTAGGAACTGTGTAAAAAGCAATGCCCATTACAATGAAATAGTAAGACACATGATTGAGAGATGACAGAGAATGCCTGTGGTTTTAGCAGTGTAAGGCCTCGGCATGTTGTGCTATAGTGTATGGTAATCCTACTATACATGCCAACAATTCAGTGCCCACTCTGAAACTAGACTAACCAACATATGGAGGTTTGACAACTGCTAAGGTTCATGTTTGACTAAATTCTCAAGTTTTATGTAATTACTTGTCATGCCACAGTGTGAAAGAATATGAATTTAAGCTTACAAGTTCATCACATGGTAAAATTAGAGGGAAGGCGTTAGCAAGTCTCATCAGGAAAGGATGGATAATAGGAGAATATGTCACATAAAAAGGAATTCAAATGTTTGGATAGTGCAGTTTATAGTTGCAGTTTAGGAAATATAGCAGGCATTTGGTGCACAATAAATTCCCAGTGCTACAATGTCATAATGGCCTGATATTCTTTTTTACGATGTTGATTGGGCCAGGACACCAGGATAAATCTTATCCTTTTTTTCAAAATAATGTGACAGAAGTTTACATTTACTTGATAGGCCAACCAGCTCCTGAGTCTATCATCTGATTTAAAGATGGTACCTTAGATAGCAAAGCACTTTCTCAGGACTGAGTCTAATTCTGAAGTAGACTTGAACTTTCAACTTCTGACTCAAAGGCAAGAGTGCTACCTGTTGTACAGGGTATGGTTCTGTAAGTATTAATGCTGAAGCTTCACTAAACTCCACCTAATCCGATGATGTTATACTGTCTTTGGGCAAAGAAGGAGTCAAGTCCAAAGTCTTGATGGACTGGATCTCTGACTCCTGATAATCTTCATAATTATTCCTAACAATCAATTTAACTCATACCTCATGCTATCATGCACTAAACCGCATTATGTTGTGGGCCAGAAGAGTTCCTTCTATTAAGACTCAACAGTTGTTTATCATCAAACATTGTGAATGATTCAGGTACTTAGATCCAGAATAGAAAGGAGGATTGGTGGCAACAGTCCATCCCAACCACAATATGTTGTTGGTACCACAACATACAGCACAACTAATTGAGACTGTGATACCTCGCAAATGATATATAGATTAAAATTGTTGCCACATTGTTCCAAACCATTATGACAAATGAAATAAGAATTTTATTCTGAAACCCCAATCTTCTGCAATGCTAACACAAATGGTAAAGCTGATGTTTTATTACAGATATTTGGCTTTATATTCATTTGTTCCCAACAAGGAAGATGAACTGGAGCTCAAACAAGGAGACATCATTAACGTTATCAGGAAATGTGGTGATGGTTGGTACTTTGGTAGGTTACTGCTAGATATGTTACAAAGTAACAAACTTAGCCTGTTCTTCAGTGTGTTATTAAAAAGTAAAAATCAGAAGATCTATCTCACTGCAGTGTGAATGATACAGTACAAGATAAGGTGAGTCTGAACAATATGATGTAGTTGATGCTTTTCATAAATGCTTAACACCCAGGGAGCTCTCCATTTAATCTGACTGAGTTTTCATTATTCTTCCAGTGCCATCTGAGTTTGCTTATGCGCTCCCTATGCATCTACAACAATGAAAATGGATCATGCAGAGTATGGGAATATCAAAAATGGTCTAATAATTTCCTCAACAGAAGTATATTGTTTCACCAGTGCAATACGAAAATTAACCAGCACTCCATAAGTGCCAAAATAACACTTACACATTAGGTGATATCTTGTATATCACGTTAGACAATACATATATTCTATCTATGCCTACTCCTGTTTCTGTTCTCATATTTAGCATACTGCCACAATTTGTGTGACGTTCATGAACTAAGACCACAAAATTTGTAAACCCATCTTTTCACCTTGTCCTCAAAATGGTGACCATGATATCTATCTGAATGTTCCTGATACTAACTGTTTTGGTTAGGTGTTAGCACACACACAGAGAACATATGCCAGAACTATACAGTTTGACCAATAATAATTATAGTCATGTAATACTGAATTCATGCAGTGCTGCCATTTTGGAGTTCAGGGCTCCAACTAACACCCTGTCTTAAATAAAGCAAAATACTACAAATGCTGGAAATCTAAAATAAAAATAGAAAGTATTGAAGGAACCCAGCTGATCTGGCAGCAACAGTGGAGAGAGAAATGAGGTTATTGTTTCAAGTGCAGAACTTCAATCCCAAGTTCCTAAATCAGAGTCATTCTGGACTTGAAACATTAACTCTATATCTTTCTCCACATACACAGCCTTTATTTCCCTTAACCTTTTCCTTTATTTCCTGACTGAAATTATTACATATTTTTCACATTGGGTGCGTGCAATTACATCGATTACAACTATACACTAATAATCTCATAATCATAAACTTTAATCATAGTCATAGAATCTCTACAGTGTGGAAGCAGGCCATTCAGCCCCTCAAGTCCACACCGACCTGAGCATCCCACCCAGACCCACGCCCTACACCATCCCTGTATTTCCCACCCTAGACACAATGGGCAATTTAGCATAGCCAATCCACCTAACCTGCACATCTTTGGACTGTGGCAGGAAAGCAGAGCACTCAGAAAAAAAGCCGGCATAGACAAAGGGAAAATGTGCAAGCTCTGCTAGTACACTCATCCAAGGCTGGAATTGAACCCAGGTCTCTGGCACTGTGAGGCAGTGGTGCTAACCACTGAGCCACTGTGCCACCCTAGTTGGTGACATAGTTGGCAGGATACACACCTGCATGGGGAATCTGGCTGAAATTTATGACATGCTCAATAACTGAAGAGAAAAACTCAATTTAATTAACTATTAAATCAGTTGAGTTGCTGGAGGTATCACATTGAAAGCTAATTTGAATAGAAATGAAGGGAATAAATTTGCAGCCCCTATTCTTTGCAATTGTCTGTCATAACACTGAAATGCTAGCCCATGGGAAACAATACCAACTAATAAAAATGAAAGCAAAATACAGCAAATGCTGGAAATCAAAAATAAAAAACATGAAGTTCTGGAAATATTCAGCAGATCTGTTAACAGAGCAATAGCATTAACATTTTGAGTTTAATATTGCTCTTCTTCAGAAATGAAGATAGAAATGTTTTATACCATTGAAATGGTGGAGAAAAATAAAACAAAAAAGAAGATCTGGAATGGGCTAAAGGTCCTGTTGAGTGTTTCTAGCACTTCCAGCTTTTATTTCATATATTGTCACAGCATCTAATTATTTAGTTTGAGATTGACTCTGAGTCGGTTTATTGTGTCACATTCAGACTCTTAGAACTGATGCACTGCAGTTAAGGCACAAAAGTAAGTTTAAGCTGCCATTTATTTATAGAGGGCGAATGAGAGGGGAGAAATTGCGCCTCTTGGTACCAATTATCTTATTTGGCAAAAAAAGGGCATAAAGAGCCGATTTACTTTTTATATGTGCAGTACCCCAAAAGTCATCTGAAATGAGTCCAACATCATATCTTACAATAGGGCTGCCTTCAGTGGAACAGATGTTGGGCCTTATCCACTCAAATATTCTTGCGAGAAATTTGGCAACGTCCACATACAGAGTACTAACAGTCCCTGCTCAAATTGGAGGTCAGAGAAGCATGAGATGTCTGACCTCAGTGGTCATTTCTACTGGAAGGTGGGGCAGTAGGACCTTGACTGGGTTCAGCTATTTGTTTGGGTAAGGTTGTAGTAATCAGCAGGACAAGCAGCTGAGTGTGGTAGAGTGAAGCGGAGAAAGGTAGTGGTGGGTTATTGCTTGTGGTCTGCAGTATTGTTGCGCGCTGGGGCTTGAGTGTGATTTTGTGGGGCCTAGGAATCCAGAAAAATAAAATCAGTTTCTAGTATTGTTGGCTGGGCCTCAGTGGAAGAATATCTTCAGGGTGGGTGGGAAATAAGACTGGAACTTGGAAAATGATAAGTTTTGGGTAGGGGGGGGATGGTGTTGGTTGTGGACTGCATGTGTAAAACGTATAGCTACCTGGAAGTCAGGGTAAGAATTATGCTAAGGTTAGAGATCTTGGGATTTTTGACGGGGGTGATTAAGGTGAGTACTGATGTTCTTCTCACTGAATATGGCATTGGTTTGTTTGAGAAACATCAGCAATGGTGCTGGCTGCCTCAGGAGCAAGTTGAAGTTACAAAATGGAGCACAGCAGGTATTAAACACCTTTATTGCATATATTAATCCTCCTTGTTTCGATCTTGACAAAATAGCATCTAGGACAACTACTACGAGCACACAGCACTTACTTAATTTTGTTCACAAAACAGTACTTGCAGCATTGAAATCCCCTGTTATGCAGCCAAATGCATTAACGGGGAGGGAATTTGTAGATAATCATTGTTTTTCTGGTGTGATATTTTCAAATGGTTAGCAACAGGTTATGTGTCAGTCAACTAAAACTCATGATGACATCCAAATTAAGGAACAGAAAACTGAATTTAAGCATTGCTTGTAAAACATTCTTGACTGATGAAAAAAAGTAAATAACATCTTCCGTATTACTGATTTAGACATTTTAAGTCATGTAGCATTAATTGTGTTAAAAGTGTAATTATCTATCATTACGGTCATTTATTTAATATGAAATAAACACGGGGGTGGGACGCTTATCAATGTTGACTGAAAGAAAGTCTTAAAATAGTTTTGCTTTTACATGTAATTTTAATAGTCTCTCCATAAACAAAAACTATTTTTATGTTTTTTTATAGAGTAGAGCATAGTCGGCTCAAGGCTAAAAAATGCCTGGTTATTAATTTTCAGTATTTTATAGCACACTTGGTTATGAGGGGAGATATGAGAATGAATAGCCAATGAACTGTTGTGAAATGTTTTTGAATTGTAGTTGATCATTTCAACTTTGTTTTTTTTATTACAATGTCACCAAATTTATTCAGCAAACAATGTTTGTTCAATTATGTTATTTGAAAAGTAACATGCATGCTTCACGGCATATTTAACCTTAAATAGAGAGTGCACTGTCTGAATTATTCATTGTATTGATGTCTATATTTTATAGGTACATCCAGAAGAACCAAGATGTTTGGCACTTTCCCAGGAAATTATGTGGAAAAATTGTGTTTATGACCAATAGAACTGATTCTCCAATTCAACCAAGATATTATTCTGGGTGAATTCGTGAACTGAATGAGTCAGGAAATGCACTGAAATGTAGATTCTGTCAGCAAAGCGAAGTCCCAGTGGCAGATTTATTTGGGGCAGAATTACCTGGAAGGTTTTGGTGGAACTATGATGCAAATGTTTTTCCCTTTAAAGAAATCTGCATACCTTTGATTTATGCTGTTCCTTACCTCAAGTCATGGCTATATGAAAGTTTTCATGTTACATGCAACACAATATCACTTTCCCCATTAACATTGTTTCACTTCTGAGCAAAAAACCAGGAAACAGAAACTGTTACATTTTCCCAAGTTCTCCAGACATATGCTTATATGCAAAATTTTGGGAACACCAGGAACTGAAATCATTCCTTCCAATGATTGATTGTGATTTTTTTTTTAGCAATTTATTTTTAAAAGTTATTTCTTCTTACTGAGACCTACAAAATATTTTTCATATAGAGTCATACAGCACAGAAGTAAAACCAGAAGTTGCTGGAAAAGCTCAGCAGGTCTGGCAGTATCTGTGAAGAAAAAGTCAGAGTTAACGTTTCGGGACCCATGACCCTTCCTCATAACAGAAGATGCCTTTTGGCCCATCGAGTCTGTGCCAATCTATGTATGCTAATCCCATTTTCCAGTACATGACTCATTGCTTTGAATGTTATCACATTTCAAGGGCTCATCCATGCATGTTTTAAAGGTTGTGAGGTTTTCCTCTTCTACCACTCTTCCAGGTGATTTCCACCAACCTCTGGGTGAAATAATGCTTCCTCAAAATCCCTCTGAACCTCCTGTCTTTCACTTTAAAATTATGCCCTCTCATTTTTGACCCCTGTGGTAGCTGCTTTCTATCCATCCTGTCCATGCTCCTCATAATAATGTACACCTCAATCAGGTGCTCCATCAGACCTCTCTGCTCTAAAGAAAACAATTCAAGCTTATCCAGTTTCTCTCCATAGTTAAAATGCTCCATCCCAGGTGACATTCTGATGAATCTCCTCTGCATCTCCTCCAGTGCAATCACATCCTTCCTGTAATTTGGTGACCAGAAATTCACACAGTATCCCAGCTGTGACCAAACCAAAGTTTTGCACAGCTCCAACATTGCCTCGCTACTCTTATAATCTAAACCACAACTGATAAAGGCAAGAGTCCCATATGCCTTCTTAACTACCCTATTAACCTGTCCTTCAACCTTTATGGCTTTGTGGACAAGAACCCCAAATCCCTTTTTCTGAGCTTCTTAGTGTCCTGCCATTCATTGAGCACTCCATTGTCTTATTACAACTTCCAAAATGCATCACTTCATGCTTTTCAAGAACACCATATCGCTGAATATATTTTTTAGAAATTGTATTTTCTTAAAAAAAACAGTGTTTAATGTGCAAAAGTGATAGTTTGGTATCTTTCAATTTCGTTTTCTGAGTAACATTGAAAATGAAGTAAAGAAGAAAGAAGGAAATTATTCTGTGATTTCCTCAGGCCCTGATCTTTTGTGTTGATTCTATTTATAGTATGTGGATTTTTACTCTATTTCATACCAATACACTTGGGAAAATTAAATTGAAATACCCTTAATATACCATTTCATGCCTGCTCCTATCCAGGAAAATGATTACATCACCTGCTCCCACATGCTTCCTTGGAAATGATGTATTTATGTCAATGTTCCAAATAAACTTCTGACCTAGCAAAAACAAATTGCATTCACAGAACTAACAAATCTTTTCAATTTTGTTTCACAACCCAACTCTCAAATAATAATAGTTTCTATTATACACCTGTCATCTCATAGTTTTGTAAGAGTTGTGTGGATTAACTCATCTTTAACCATTGTATTTTCAACTATTGACTTGGATACTCATTCAAACAGACCCAGCTCAGGTTGCTATTACATGGAGATAGATTTGTTCCATAGCTCTCCCCCTCAAGCTCTACTTCGGAGCAGGCACTTGTTAGCAAAATATTTTCGTAAGGCTGTCTGATCCAAATATATTAGTGAACCTGTACTTTATTGATGAAGATGTCTTGTAATTATAATTTGTGGAGAGCACATCACTTGCATTGATTGCAATTTCCTTGTCATTAGATGTAATTTATATTAGGCAATGATGGGTGTAATTTATAACTAAAATTAGTTCCTTAATAAAAGACAGGAAAGCAAAAGTTCATTGATTGGATACAAATGATAGTCATCAATTTAGATCTGTGTGATTTTGTTTGTACATGCTCTGAATGTGCCAATTTTATGACATAAATGTCTATATTTAGAAATATTTGAGAATGCCACAGTGCATAAAGTGATGAATAACCAGTCATACAGGCCAATGGGGCTGATAGCCTTAATTCTATTTTCAATTTCTATGTAATCCAATACATTTCCCTCCCTAACAGCATTGTGGGTCAACCTACAACAAATGGACTGGAGCATTCAAGAAGGCAGCTCACCACCACCTTCCCAAGGGCAACTAGGGACAAACAATAAATTAGAACAAAGAATTGCAGATGCTGGAGATCTGAAACAAAAACAGAAATTACTGAAAAAACTCAGCATGTGTAGTAGCATCAGTGGGGAGAAAGCAGAGTTTACACTTCGAGCCCGGTGACTCTGATGAAGAAATTCTCTGAACTCGAAATGTTAACTCTGCTTTCCTCCCACAGATGCTGCCACATCTGTTGAGATTCTCCAGCAATTTCTGTTTTTGTGACAGATCTCCAGCATCTGCTGCAAATTAATTTTTATAAGACTGTAAATTTCATATCAACATTAAGATTCAATAAAAGGGATTATAGCTCAGTACCATACTTTGTTCAGAAGGATGAAGAAAACTCTCTTTGTGTGAACTGTCATTTTTACCTCAAAAATCCATTTAGCCGTAAACTCCAAAACAAAACAAAAATAGCTGTTGTAATTTCTTTTCTGGAATTGCTTGAATGTCAGGGTTTAGACTGACAATGCTGTTAAAAAATATTACTCCCTCATTAGATTCCAGGGAATTAAAATATCTATAATGCCAGTACAAAGGCAAATGTTAAGCATCAAGGGAACTGGTTTATTTGTAACCAGTGCATTTCCATATACCGGCATTCTTCATTGCTTGTTCCAGAATTTTTCATACAGTTCGCAGGAACACCATCTGGAGTAACAGACATCTCTTCCTCAATGCCAACAATACAGTACTCAATGAGGATTGTAGCCTTGTCATCATGTTACTTTTGTTCTTTTATTGGTATGGGAAAATATAAGTCAGCCAATTCATGCACAGCTTTGTAAATTTAAGCATGCTATGATGCAGAAAGTTTGAATATGTTGAAATCATCAAAAGTAGAAAAACTTACTTTCTCAATTTCTCTTTAACACATAAAAATTCAAAGTTACCATTGGGGGCTTGTTGTAGGAATCTTTAACGTTACTTGTATATATGTTGCAGATCAAGAAAAACAATTGTACCAACTAATCTATTTTTCTTATTTATTCATGGGACCAGGACAGCATTTATTGCCCATCCAAGTTTCCCTAGGAGAATGTGGAAGTGAGCTATCTACTTGAAGTGCTGCAATTCTTGTGTTGTAGGTACACATACAGTGATACTTGGAAGCAAATTCTGGAATTTGGACACAGTGACAATGAAAGAACAGTGATATCATTCCACGTTAGAATGTTGAGTGACTTAAAGGGGTACTTAAAGCTGGTAATATTCCTGTTCATCTCCAGCCATTGTCCTTCTAAGTGTTTGCTGTCATGGTTTTGAAAGGCAACGTCTAAGGAGGTTGGGTTAGTTGTTGCAGTATATCTTGTCATTGGTACACACTGCTGTGCATTTTAATGGTGAATAAAGTGAATGTTGAAGGTGGTGGATCAGGTTCCAATCAAGCAGGCTGCATTGTCCTAGAAGGTGTCAAGCTTCTTGAGTCTTGTTGGAGCTGCATCCATCCAGTCAAGTGGAGAGTATTCCACTACACTCTTGACTCATGCCTTGTAGATGGTGGATCGGCACTATAGACTCAGGTGTTATGACTGCAACTGCTATTATTAATGGACAAGTCAGATCCCAGTCTGAAATTTGACTTGATGTATCAAGCTTTGTTTTGTTTTCATCTAACAGCTTAACAAACAAACAAATTCCTGATTCTTCTCATGGAAATAAATTAATGTTCTGCAATGTCTATTGTGCCCACTTGTAAAGCTCTCCTAATGCAAAAAAAACTCCACTTATCACACTAGGAACTCCTCCTGTCATACTGTGTTTTAAAAAAATCATTACTCCAGAAATACTGACAAGTTACACTTTAACATCTGCATGCACACAGACCAAACTCCACGTCCAACTACATCCAAAACAAGCTCCAAATAACAGAGTAGATTTCTCACTGCACACTAACTAGGCAATTCAACTGAACTTCCAACCTGAGGTCTGGGAGCAAAATGAAGAGTGATTCAGCGTAACACTGTACCATGGGTGGCATGGTAGCTCACTGGTTAGCACTGCTGCCTCACAGCACCAGAGACCTGGGTTTGATTCAACCCTCAGGCAACTGTCAGTTTGGAGTTTGCACATTCTCCCTGTGTCTATGTGAATTTCCTTTGGGTGCACCAGTTTCCTCCCACAGACCCAAGATGTGCAGGTTAAGTGGATTGGCCTTGCTAATTTGCCTGTAGTGTTCAGGGATATGTAGGCTGGGTGGGTTGCCATGGCCAATGCAGGGTTACAGTGGTAAGATAGGGAGGGAGGATGCATGTGGGTGGGATGCTCTTCAAAGGGTCTGTGTATACTCAATGGGCCAAATGGCCTGTTTCCACACTATAGGGATTCTATGACTCTAAATGACTGACTCACTAGAGTACCTATAGTTCAAAAATCACAGAATTGTCTTTGCAAGAACAAAAGGCAGGAACGGTGTGCATGAACTATCCCAGCTAACAATTATCAATTTTGCAGGGGTAAATTGTCGTTTCAAAGAGGTCAACTGTTGTTTTTATGAGAAGAAGCATCATGTCCAAGTTATATGTCACAGCAAGTAGCCCAAACAGAATCACCAAAAAGAGAAGCCTTCAACAAATTGAAATGGCTCTGAAATAGTGATATGGAAGTGCCTTTCCTCAGTGACATCAAGGCACCAATTGGATTCTACTGGAGTGGTGACATCCTTGTAGATGGAAACACAACATGCTTTAAGTTAGACACAGCTGCAGCAGGTTTGGTTCTGTCTGATACTGAACCATGGTTGGAGAAAGTTTCTTTTCAGCCATCACACATATGGGCAAGGAGATGTAGAACTCAAGTCATTGGACAACTGATTACATCCCTTCAATATAGATCGTGAAAATCACTGGAAAACATTTCATGTGATCATAAAGCAGATTTGTTCACTCTTAGGCAAGAAGACCTGTACTGAGAACTTTATTTAAAACATTCAGAGCTGTTTACAATTCTAGAAAAGTTGAAGGGAGT